AGCCAAGTTCGCCTCATCTGATTGGAATGTTCGAGAGGAAAGTACTTCAAACGAACAGCAATTTTTGTTTTTTTTTTTCCAGTCAGTCTTTCCAGATTTCACAAGCGATTTTTCACCCAGCTACAAGCGATTTTGGAATGATAATTCAAAAAGAAATGTCCTAAAGTGAAGAATTTAATTTAAATTACATTCTCCAAATAAATTAATTTAAAAAACTTTAACTCAAACTCGTGACGGAATCATTTTGAACTCAGCCGCCACTAGAATTACCAGTGTGACTCAAAAAGCTTTTAACTTTTGGGCTGTTTGTATTTTAAACTAATTACACATAACCATTACACAGTTCTGTGTTTCACATTTATCAAGCACAATTCTTTAACGTATCTACAACACAGAGAACCCATAAATCTACTCCTCTGTAACATTTTGACCTAGAGCAGCTTTATTACAAATTCAGAACTGTTTGCTCAAATGAGAGAGTTCAGAATCAACAGCTCAAAAGATTGGGCATTCAGGGAGTTACAATGACAGAACAACCTATTCCAGAATCTAATTCCACTGGTTCTTCCGGTGATGGCGCTGGTTGTTTCTTCTTCGCCTCTTGCAATCGTTTATACTGTTCTTCAGTTTCGTTAAATATCAACTGCTTTAACTCCTCTTTTGGCAAATCATCATATTCGATTTCGTAGGTGAACGGTTCCTCGCAGATGGGCTGAAAAATGAGCATATTACCAACGAATAAGCACGAAGTGGGAAAAAACTCCATGAACACATCGCCAGTGCATAGCCTACGTGCGTGCGGGTTCAATTCCGAAAACATTAAAGATATAGCCCCAGTAACAAAAAGTTTAATTCAGTCAGGTCTGCCACGGTTCTGAAAATCGGATTTTGCAGCAGCTTTTGATTCTTAGACTTTTGATTCCATCATGCTGTAATTACTCCGGTATCCAGTTTACTATCTCAATTGCTGCTCATTGAGAAGTCCTGTTAGTCTGTTAGTGGTAATCCTCGTAAACAGCTTGTAAACAAGAGCATGAACACTGGGTTGTAATTCTTCTGATCTTTCTTAGCGCTCTTTTCGGCCAAGTACTGGCCGAATAAATAGAGTTTTCCAAAGTTTCTGTCTCCCGAATCTAATCGTTCGGTACTAATGCCGCTATTTGTGGGAATCTTTCCACTTTTCGTTTGGAAAGCTGCATGCTTTGCCTAATTGACAAGTTGAATTTGCCGCTTAGTTATCCCTTCTCATGTTTCCTTCTTCTCTAGCCACTTTTTTTGTAGCTGTGGAGGTCTGACCGTCGAAATTCAGCACACCGGCTCGTCTCGCTCGTTCAAGAAGCGTATAAACAAAGCAACTGTAGTCCTTTTCAACATTCACCCCATCACCCAAATAAGTGAATCCGATACCTCGTCATTCGGATCATAATACTGCTCCAAGTATGGATGTGCAAGAGCATCTTCGATACTGATTCGTTTGTTCGGATTGAATGTTAGCATTTTATCCAGCAAATCTAAGGCACGTGGATCGGCATTTGGATACATTCGTAACCAGGGTTGTTTCACTTTGTGCGGTAACGAGAGCAAATACGATCGGGCCTAAAAATGGTGAAAAAGCAGTTCATATCCTAGAAATATGAAAATTAAAAAAATTTTATGGATCATCTAGTTTTCAAAGTAAATCACCCTGACTACCAAAAATGCTCGGATATTTCATATGGGGATTCGATGTTAATGGTGCAACTGGGATATTTTCACGTACCCATCCCAGTTATGTCAGGCTCTACAGCGTAGGCTACATCTCTACTGATAATATCTATTTCTTGGTCGATGCATGTGAGCTAAATGTTTGAGTTGCTCGAATTGCCCTCCACTTTGGTCATAGTGATATCCTGCACATCGCTCAATTTAGATTGAATCTAGATGTATTAAAGTCACGAAAAGGGCGGCACTTCAGATATCCTTCGCTTCATCGCTCTCTCCGTCATTGCCAGCGCTTGTTTTACTTCATTTATTAACTGCGTTTCGTATCGATGATTTTATCATTATAGTATTATTGATAAGATGAACAAGGCTTATCCAGTTTAAAACGCTTTAAAAACGATGTTGCCGAAAACTACGACAATAATTTTTTTACGAAACTGAGACATATATTCCTGGCCATGACAGACGAAGCCCGTTTTCTCTCTACAATTTCAGCCCAGACCCGATTTATTAACTGTAGTAATGAACTCAAACAAGAAATGCTAAAAGCAAAGTACTTTTTCATTGATAATGCACTGTAAATCTTCTTGACTTGGCGATCCAATAACTCCTAGAATTAGATTCAACTGGTCAAGATAATTTTTGCCCGGGAACAGCGGTCGGTTACTCAACATTTCTGCCAAAATGCATCCCACCGACCATACGTCAATTGATTTCGTATAACCTTTCGAATTTAGCATAATTTCTGGTGCTCTATACCACCTGAAATAAAAATATTTCACTTAAAACTGTATAACATAACAAATCACGAAATTTAATGTGTTCCAGAAGGATTTTCAGAAAATCTGAAACTTAAGACAGGAAAAGTGAAATAAGCCAAATATAAAAAATCCGTTAAAAACAGCTAACTGAAAAATTTTGCCGGAAACTGCCAAGGCAACAACAGAAAGAGTAAAAAAAATTTTAACCTGGTTGCCACATATTCAGTCAATACGCCTGTATGATCGTATCCAGGATCAGTTACTCGTGCAAGACCAAAATCACAAATCTAAACTATCAGTAGTCAAAAATATCCTAAAGGAAATCAAGAAAATCAAATTTTTCCAGTGGATAAAAATAATTCGTCAAAAATCCAAAAAAGCAGAAAATCAGTTGATATCTCGTAGCAAAACGAGGGGATAATCAAACTTTTCCTCTCGAAAAAAAAATTCGAGGTAGATAATGAGAAAGCGAACACATCAGCCACCATACGTTATGATTTGAACAGGCAGTGAGCAATATAATGTAACTGTGGTTCAAGCTTACGAAGAATGCAGGACGAACTCGCCACACAGGTGAGTATAAGAACCCGGGCATATTAAAACGGTGGAACAACGACGAATTTGGCCTCTATTAAAAACAATGCAAATTTGGTTTCTGCACAAGCATTATTGTGTGGGCTTTTCAGTAATCATGCAAAAAATGCTTATGGTGGGTTCTTGAAAAGCATTTCCCCCCAAATTAATATTAAACAAACAGCAGCAGTACGCATCAGAGAATCGGTATGAACATGCATTTTTGAATTCCAATCTCTTTTCATAACCATCTTGTCTCCATCTGCCATACAAACGTTCATCTAATCACTAAGCCCCATCCCTCATCCTCAAATTACGCACAACAACACGTGTAGGATCTTAGGAAAAATCTATAGCACTTATAGTAAAAAGCGAAAATCTGAACAGATAGACAGAAAGTTTATTTCTACCCGCACACACAGTTCGGTCTATGTATACAGCTAAAGGATGAAACACAGACTGCGCCTCAAAATGTTTTCATACACATTACATTCAAGTGAAATTCTTCTATTCCTCTATTTTCCATGAATTTGCATTCCCGAATGCGAGCAAAGTTACCTTGAGATCACAAGTAGTGTTGAGAAGTAAATTGGAAGGCTTGAGATCACGATGAATCACGTTGGCGGAATGAATATACTTTAGTCCTCGCAATATCTGATACAAAAAATAACAGATGTGATCATTAGATAATCGCTGCGTTTTCAGCAACTTGTACAAATCTGTTTCCATTAAGCACTGCACAATATAGCTAAAACGGAATAATTCAGAATAAGATAAATAGTTTAGGTTAGAGGCCTTATTTTCTATAAATATATTTCGTTAAATTGTTGCTGAGGTATGGGAAACAGGACTTTGTAAGGATAACTGAGATGCAGCACACATTTAGAGACGATTGACTGCAAAAATACACCAAGTTATGCGCAGAAGAACCTAATTCTTTTGCGACAGCACATTTAGGTGGATTAGTCACTGATTCAAATCGCTCCCTCGCCTATAAGACTGTTCTCTCCAGATAAAGCATCTTCAGTGAACCCGTTTCACTTCGGCAGCCAGCAGAGCCATTCTGCTTCAGAAATCGACCTACACTCGCTAAATTCATCTTTCCTGATGATTCAGAAATTAAAAGCCTAGTCAGCACATTATTCTCATAAAAAATGCTGGCTCATAACTGACAGACAATGACTGTCCATGCCATGGGTTAACTTTTCCTTCTTTCTCTTCTCTCACACCCTCTTTGTTCTCCCTCTGTTTCCTCTTTCGCATATCCGTCTTGCAAATTAGTTACGCGGCTGGTCAGTAAATGACGGGGTAGAAAGCTCTATTGATCAATTCCGCTCCAATCCAAACGCAAAGTTCGGTTTATTTTTACAGCTAAGGGATGAAACACAGAATGCATCCTAAAAGGTCCTCATACACATCACACTTAGACCATTCCCTTGTATTTTATTTTACTGTTTCGAACTTCTAGACCAACAATAAGCTACTACATTAGTCACATGATCGGGTGGCAATTATTCATTTTTGCATTAAAAAACGCCTGCAAATCCTGGTACAATAAGGAAAAAACATTAACTGTCGAGTAGCGAAACACAGAAAAGGTTGCTCATCTGGACGCATAAAATAGTTTCTCAAAAGAAAAGCAACTTTACTCACATATCTTTCATCTGTTCCACACTTGGTGCACGTATTATCTCCTGAATGTTGATAATCTAAAAAAATGCAATAAATAAAACAAGTAAAACCTCAGTTCAAAAAGAATCTATTTCTGTAAAATAGGGTGCTATTTTTTGTTACTTTCTTTTTTGATTGCACTGTGTGCGCTTGAAAAAGTCATTTTTTAGTTCATCAACGGATTTCGTCTATGTATCAACAAACTCGCGGTGGATGCGAATCTTATCAATCCCAGTACTTCCTATAAAGGCTAACACATCTCACATTCACTGGCTGTGAATTTGTTGCATTTTTTCCTTATCAAATTCAAAAAAAAAATTACATTCTCATGTTTAAATTTAGTAAGAATTTTAATTTCTCGTAGTGTCCGCTGACAGAATGTTTGGTGTTCGAACGGTGAGATCTTCTTTATCGCCACACGTTCATCTGTTTCCGTGTCCATTGCCGACCTGTAATATGTCTGATCAACACTGCTAACACAACAGCAAAGTTGAATAATACTTTCGAAATTACAGTCTGCTAGACGGAAAAGAAAAAGTGAAACGCATGAATTTTGTACCAGCGGGCAATGGAAAAAGTTAAGAAGCGCTTGAAAGGCGTGCAGTCTAAATGCTTTCAGACATACCTAACGCCCGAAGGATCAGTATACGATAAAATTTTTTTAAAAAAAAAAGTAATGAAGCGCATATTTTTAGGCGGCTGAGAACGTATTTTAGCGAAAATCGCATAAAGGAACTAAAACTAGCGAGCCAAACGCTCTCCTTTCGTTTCCTAGCAAAAATGTCCTCCTTTCTCGCCTCATTCTAAACTGTCGCTTCAATCCTATTTTCACTGCAGCCCATGCAGAGGCAGTACAAACAATAAAAACAAAGTAATAATTCAAGGTTTTTTTCTGCATTTTAATAAAATTTAACGCTGCTCAAGCCATTTTTGCATCATACTACCTCAATTTTCGATAACTTAATTCTCGCATTTTTTTAAA